ATTTGCCGAAGTGTGTTTTTGCTTAAAAAAGAAACACTGTTTTGTTTATTTTTCACTTAATCATCTGGCACAACGGTACAAGCAAGCACAGTGGTCTCGGTGTATGGCAGGAATCGGCATCATTGAAAGCTTCCTCGCAAACCTACCTCCATCCCGTTGACTTCTCTGCTCACATGTGACTGCATCCAGTTTGTTGTTTTGACTGCCCACTGGCTACACATCAATTCGAAATCAAGTTTTGTCCATCCACATCAAAACACAGCTGATCTTTTGCCACCCTACCGACCGGACAAAAAACTTCAGTTTCTCTGTGCCCTTTTCCCTCGACTTTACTCTCTGATCTTTCTGCAGCAAATCTACCTTCAATGACTGGCACTTGTTTTGGTGTCAACTCAGCTCCTGATTGCTCTCTGTCGCCTTCCACTGCCACCAATTCAGATCAGCCTTCGCTTCTGCACTCCACTTCAACGACTGGTTAACCCATCTTCTACAGGTAAGGAGCAATCTTCGCCGCTGACGATCCCCTCTCTTTCGCACCTCTGGCAGCAGACTGCTGACTCGTGTCACCAATAGTCGTAGTGGGTCGTCCTGTGCCACTTTAGGCGAGCAACCACTTGCCTACCAGCACGGCGACTTTTTAGCGTTCGCCCGTTCGCGTTCAGGTCAGAGGCTGTGAGTGCTCAACGCAGTGTGTCCTGAAATATCGATGCGAGCTCTGGTGTCAGAGTGCGTATACTGGTTGCGGCCTGGCCTGGCCTGGACAGCGTCGCTCGTCCAGCACCCGCGGCAGCAGTACTCCGCGCCGAGTCTTTCTCCTTCTCCTTCTCTCTCTCTCTCTTTCTATTTCTCTTTCACTCTCTCACTCTTGCACCGCTACGCTCGTCTCAACTGTAGACACGTTACGAGCACACACACACACACATCAAAACAGTGCTGTTGAATCGGCGAGTGCTCTTGCCGCGAGTAACTCGAGACAGCAGCACACTATGTGCTTGTCTCTGCTGCTTCTGCTGCTGCTGCTGCTGCTGCGGTTGCCAGTGCTCGTCCGCCATTTGCTGCCGTGTTCTTCGTACTCTCGCCGTAGTTGACTCGCCATTGGTAAGTGCACTCCCAAGGACCAAACGTTTGCGCCCAGTGTGCCCGAAAACGCTTGCGATCAGCCAGCCAGCCAGCCCAAAGTTCGAGTTGAACTTTACAACTTTTCGCCGCCTCTCTGTCAGCTGCTAGCTTTTTTACCGCCGTCTGTTGCACATTTCTGCCCAGTGCGGCTGCAGATCAATAAATCGACTGAAATAACAACACGTGAAACGAAGTTCTTGTTGTGGTTCTTTCAATGATGTGTCAAATGTCGGAGGTGTATTCAGTGTTCAGCAATGAGCCAAACACACACCACTGACTTTTATTGCCCGAGAGCAGCTTTCAGTTTGGCCACACACATGGCTGGACTTTGTTTTGTTTTGATGCTTGCCGCGAAATAATAACGACCTCATTAGCGCACTCTTGTTCTACTGACTGAGTCTCTCGCGTCTGGCTGGCTCTAGTTTCCCTTCCTATTTTATCGACATCAAAAGCAGCTTATCGTTTTAATGTGACACAACTGATTGCTTATTAACTTTTTTATACTCACGTGCAAGTCGTCTGTAAGTGGCCTTTTTAAGCATCATTCTACAGCTGCTACCGATTTTATAACATAAGCGCGCGTTTAATCGCCAAATTGATGACACCTGATTGAGCGTGTAAAGTCATTGCACTATGATAGACTTTTATTTGTTTTTGTTAATGAGAATACTTACAACTTGCAATTAATTTTCGTTGCAGATTTTTTCGTTTTGCGATTCGCGCATTCCTGTCATTCCTGCAGTAGCAACACTCGCCCGTTAATTACATCTTTTTAATGTTTGACATATTTTACCGGAAACGTCCTCCACTCCTCACCTGACCAATATGTCAATGGCAACAGAAAAGCGAACACTCGATCCCGAACAAGTTCATCAATTATGGCTGACTATAATTTCCTTGCTCAAACAAGCTCCTAGCTCATCGAGTGATGATGCCGCCACTACCTCCTCCTCCACCGCTACCGCCACTTCCACCCCCAACTCAACGCAGCAAACATCAGTTTCAATAAGTGCACTGTCGTCTCAGTTGAAAAGCTTGGAAAAGACTGAAAATGCTGGCAGCAGCAGCAGCAAGAAGAGCTCAGATGCTGCTGCTGACTTGACCATCCAGCAGGCCATCAAGGAAGGCCTCCTCGTAGTAGCCGCCTCTCCCCTTACAAACGGCGAAGGCCTTACCAATGGAGTCGGCGGAGATGCAGCGACGGAGCAGTCATTTGTCTCCTTACCACTAGCCGATGGAAGCCAGCAGCCGGTGCCGTCCAGGACGCCCACCAATGGCTTTGCCCCCCACGACTGGTACTGCTTTGGGTGTCACGTGGTCACTGGGAAGCAGCTGATCGAGTGCAACTACTGCTGGCGGGTGTACCACTCCGCCTGTGTTCAGCCGGACCACGACTTTGCGGTGAAGCTGGAGCGTGATAGTCAGGCGGCAGCTGGAGCGGCTGATTCGCCCAGTCTGGTCATTCGAGCGCGCAACTTTACCTGTCCCGTCTGTACGCTGACGGCAAAGTTTGCCAAGTTCACCATTGGATCTCGCCTGCTTAGTCAATCGGAGTTCAACCAAATTCTCTACTACACCTTCCTGGCGTTCAGATCGAGGGCCTCGCAAATATCTCGCAACCTGCTAAAGTTGAAGGAGTTTGCCAAGCTCTCCTCCTCCTCCTCGATGTCCTCTAACGCTGATGAGCAAGCATCCTCCTCATCCAGCAGCAGCAGCAATTCGGCGACTTGCGAGCTTAACACCCAACTTGCCTTGCAATACCTCTCGTACAAACCAGTCGACCTGGCGGATATCGAGGAGAAGCTGAACCGGGCTGAGTACCAGTCGATGGGCGAGTTTCTGGGCGACTGCCTCTCCTTCAAGCACATGATTGAGGTGGCGGTGGTCGCCGGGACGGAGGCGGAACACTCGCGACGGCGCATCAGCGACACGCTCAGTCGAATGCTCGACTCCTGTCGGTATGATCTCAAGGAGATGCTCGGCTGCATTGACTGCTACCGCAACTCGAATCGCAACCAGGACGACAAGTTCTGGTTCTGCCGGCCCTGCGATCCGCCGCACATGCTTGTCTTTGCCCGCCAGCGGGGCTACCCCTACTGGCCGGCGAAGGTGATCTACCCGCGCAGGGCGGAGGAGATAGGCGCCAATACCGAGTACGACGTGCGCTTCTTCGGGGGGCAGCACGAGCGGTGCTACATCACCACTGCCTCCGACATCAAGGACATCAACTCCAGTCTGGCAGAGCTGGCCATTCAAAAGGCGAACCCCTCGCTGGAGAAGGCGCTTGCGGAGCTTCGCGTTCACCGCGAGCTGCTGGAGAAGTACGAACAGGGACTGGACACTGACATCAACCCGGAGGATCACGTGGACGGCCACAAGGTGGTGGCGAACAAGAGGGCGAACAATCGACGCCCCAGTGCTACTGGTGCTGCTGCTGCTGTCAAGAGGAAGCCGGACTCCAGCTCGAGCTCAACTGCCGAAAAGACTGATGAACAAAGTACAAAAATTAGCAAAAACAAGAGCTCTAAGGCTCCTCGAAGTCGAAGCAATACGGTGGAGAGTGAGGCCGCCACCATTTCGGAGAAGGCTGAGAGCCCAGAAGATGGAGACAAGGAGCAGGCGAGCGAACCACAACTAGCAGCGGTCTCAGAGGAAAACAGTCAGGATGTATTTGAAGATGCACTGAAGGACACTACTAATGCTGTGGAGGAAGAAAGTGCTAAGGATAAAGCAGCAGCCAGTTCGGATACTGAAGAAGAAACGCCTCCAGAAGAGAAGGAGGAGGAGGAGGCGGCTCCAGTAGCCAAAAAGCCTCGCAAAGCAACAACGAAGAAGAAGAGGAAGAGAGCTGTTAAGGAGGAAGAGGAAGCGGTGGACTCTAATAATACTCAGTCGGAAGGTAAAAACAGCAAAGAAGACGACGATGAGCTGGATACTGATGGAAAGCGCCGCAGAGGTCGACCTCGCAAATACTATCCCAGTCCTGATGAGCGCTCCAACAGTTCTAGCGGCACTTCGAAGAAAGGTCGAGTGCGGAAAAGCAAAGTTCTTTACTCACCGGTGCAGACGTTCAAGGTCAATAAGATGATGAAGTCGGCTACTTCTGATTCTGCTCCTTCCGCTCCTGCTACCACTATCGTTTCTGCTCCTTCTCCCTCTCCTTCTCCCTCTCCCGAGCCTGAAGTTCGGCCAGCCACTCCTCTGGCACCAGTTCGGGTCTCCGCGCGTGGCCGAAGGCCAAAGGCACTTAATCGCAGTCCGTCTCCACTTCGCGTCAATGTCTCCACTGTTGCGGTTGAGACCTCATCATCATCAAGTCGAACCATCAGCCCCAGAGGGCGACCTCGAGGCAGTGGTCGCCCTCTGGTAAACTCCTCCACCTCCTCCTCCGTCATATCACCATCGAGAAAGTCTTCTCTGAAGACGGCTGAACCGCCGAGCCGCCAACAGGCAGCAACTCAACGTGTCAGTCGCAAACTCTCCCTTAGTCCATCGCCTGTTCGTAAANACCATCGAGAAAGTCTTCTCTGAAGACGGCTGAACCGCCGAGCCGCCAACAGGCAACAACTCAACGTGTCAGTCGCAAACTCTCCCTTAGTCCATCGCCTGTTCGTAAGCTGCCAGAGAAGAAGGCCAATGAGAAGGCGCAGAGGCGAAAGCAAAACATTGAGCGACAGCGTCAGCTGATTGCGGAGCGGCGTAAAAAGTCGCAGAAGGGCTCCATCACACCAAAGCATATTCCCCCAGTGACGGCAACTAAATCTTCGCCTGCATTCTCTGGAGCGCCCATCTTCAACACTAGTATTATCTCTCCAATGGGAGGTCGATCACAGCAAACGGTAAGTGTTTAGAGCCGGTTCACTTTAGTATCTTTAATTGCTAATTAATCATTTTTTCTTTGCTGTAGCCAAATCTTCAGAAAATCCCATTTTCACCTCAGTTGAACAAAAAGCCCTTTTTAGGTCAGCAGGTGGCCTCGCCGAGTGGCTTCAATTCGCCTTTATTTTCATTTGCCAGCCAAAATGGATACATGAATTCCACCTTTCCTCTAAAGCATGAAATTACCAACTTTCAGGCACAAATGTACAATAATCTACCTCATCAGTCTGTCCAAATGCCACCACCACCACCGCCTCTGAAGTTCGAGCCACAAACGAGTAGCTTCTCAAAGTCAATAGAAGTAGTTACCAACGGCGGCAGCACAACTGAAGTCACCAAAACGAAACTGTTAAATGGCACAGTCAATGGCTGTAGGGAGAACATGGACGAGGAATCGACGTCCAAAACAGCTAACAATTTTCCCGATGATGACGATGATGACGAAGAGCCATATCTGTACGACGATGATCAGCTGGAAGATCAAATCAACGAGTATGTTACCTATCAGGAGGAAAAGGAGCAATTTGAGAAGGTGCAAAAAGAGCAGCTCCATTGGGCTCACCAGCAACAGTTTATTCAGCAGCAGCAGCAAATGTTTCGCCAGATGCAGTGGCAACAGCATCAGCAGCAACTGCAGGCTCAGGGTGCTCTTCAGAATGGTACGGCAAATGGCCTGATAGGCTCAAAGATGCCCCCACCGCCGCAGCCTCCACCTTCTCCTGGCAAGAGCAAGTTTCCCTTGGGCCCCGCTCCAAAGACCTACGTGGAGTTTTCCTCTTCGAGCATCTACGTGCCGACAAAAGCAAACCAGAATCTGGTGAACCACTACCTGCATCAGTACAGCACCAATAGCGCCTCTATTCCGCCCTCTCGAAGTGACTACCTAGCCAAGCTAATGCTGCGAAAGGACGAGTTTGAGCAAATGGATCAAGCCCAGGCTGAACTGGAGCAGAATCAGCCGACACGCAAGCGAGGCCGCCCGCCCAAGACAGCCACTGAAGATGATGTCTTTGAGCGAAGTGGCAAGGCCAAGTCAGTTGTCGAAAAGTCCTACCTTCAGGAGTCCTCGTGCGACCGAGCTTGCCTAATGAAAAATGTCAAATCGTTCAAACGGTTCCGCGACTTTGTCGAGTCACAGAAAAAGGAAGATATTATTAAGGTTAGTCAAAAGATCACTGTTTATGCCGTGCCCCTTGAAACTAATGATTTTATTTGCTTGAAATGTTTTCAGATGAAGAAAGATTTAGAACAGCTGAAGCAAGAGGTGTATCGCTTAAAGAATGCTAAAGCAGAACTAGAGGACGATTTGAAGCGTGAACGGGAAAACAACAAGCGCCTTGATCCACAGCTTCTGAGCGATCTTGAGGAGCGTCATAAGGCGGAAGTTTCCAAAATTAAACGCAAACAATGGGTAAGTGTAAATGTCCTTGCTCATTTTTTTTATTTGCTAACCCCTTTTTCTATTTTTATTTTTTTATTTCAGTGCATCGTTTGTGAGTCTGAAGCATCTTTCTTCTGGTAAGTTGTTGTTGTACTTTTTCTCTATTCTTTATTGTACTAATTTGTTTTGTATTGCAGTTGTCCCAGTACCAGCTACTGCTCCCCAGAATGCCAGCACAAACACTGGTTTTCCGGGCACAGTTCAAAGTGCAACCGCTCTCGTGTTAACAACAGTAGCAATAGTAGTAATCCATCTCCATTTCATAAGAATAACGCAATTAAACACTAGTTATGCATATTTTTAATATATGAAAGAACTGTAACTATCATTATCATTTGTAACTTTTCCATCTTCGTAGAACTTTTAATTAATGAAATTTTATCACAACTGGTTTTAAATTGTTTTTACTTATTTTTTTCAATTTGGANACGCAATTAAACACTAGTTATGCATATTTTTAATATATGAAAGAACTGTAACTATCATTATCATTTGTAACTTTTCCATCTTCGTAGAACTTTTAATTAATGGAATTTTATCACAACTGATTTTAAATTGTTTTTACTTATTTTTTTTCAATTCGGGCATTTGAGTATTCACACACAAACATTTTGTTTATTTTTGTAAATATTTTCCTAGTACTTTTCTATAAATTTTCTTTCAAGCGCAAACAAAACATATTGAACGTTATTTTGATATCTTTTTAATCAATAAAAAATTGAATTCTATTTTTTAACTATTGTGTTTGTGAAATGAGAACCCATTGGTTGAGTATAAACAGAGCTAAAGCCAAGGTAAAGTGCATGTCCATGCTGAAGAGCTCAAACACTCGAGTGTGAAAATACTCTTTGTAAACGACAATTTCACGAAAGTGAATGACTTTAGAGACCTCGAACCTTCTGTGCAAAGTTGATGGTGTTTTCAAGTTCTGGTTGGATATTCTTTCCAGCGAGCGGTCAATTTGCAAATTTAAGTAGGCAATGGTGACTAGGTTCAAAGCAATATTGACTACGAAGGCAAAGTCAATTAGAGTGTCTTCTAGGAAGGATGCAATGACCAGAGTGACCACAACGTCAATGGTCATATTGACCAAAAAGAGAAACAGTGGTAGTGACAGCGTCTTATTTAGGTGCCTGTTAGCCCTGTTCAGCTCTTTGATCCGGCAGAGAACTTCACTTCTGAACTGAGCATCCGTTTCACAGAGTGAGCTCTCAATTTGCTTTAATGATAGATAGATGGCCACTTTGTAGCACTGGTAGATGCGGAAGATGATGATTGGGTGAAGGAAGACGATGTAGTGCAGAAAGATGTACTCGCTCCAGTGCATGTACTGTGGGCGATTACTAATGTAGTCGTAAAACTCGGGTGAAAAGAAAGCAATGTAAGTTAAATGATCAAACAGAAAAGCAGTGAATATGATCAGCTTAGAGTAACTTGCAGAGGGAAGTACAGCTTGAAAGCAAGGCCACTGAAGGGGCAGCAGGACGGATGGCCCGGTCACTAGAAAATACGCAATATTGATGCCATATGTAAGTGGAAATGAAAAGTACTCAATGCTTAGCAGAATGCCCATCAATGGCTTCCTTCTGCTGAGATCAATTTCATTGGGGAGGTGAGTGTACTGCACTTGAGTTTTCACGTAGATGCAAATCACCAGAAAACTCCATAATAAATTGAAGCAGTCACGCCGACTTTTTGGTACAAATGAAGATTGCATTTGCAACCCCAACCTCCTGCTCAAAAGAGTTGTGTTAAAGTTTGGATGGTTTTAAGCTTAACTGCTTATTTACCCATAACTTTGTAGAAAACAAACCAAGAACGGTGTTTTGGTCATTTGCACTTGTTTATAGAATAAGATGAAAGTTACCAAGCTGCAAATTGCAGTAAATTATTGATTTCTATTCACTTTGTTATAAATGAACCTACCACCAATCAATAAACTTTATTGAGTTTGTGTTAGTATGACCGCCATGTTGACAAATAGGGCAAATGCAGTTAGGAAAAAGTGGCCATCAATAGTGAACATGCTGAAAAACTGATATTTAAAATAGTGTCCGTAAATGTCAATGTGCCTTAAGAAGGCATAAGATGGCGAGCAGTTGACAGGAACTCTATTTTCGGCTTCTCTAAAATGCTGAGAAATTCGATTTAAGGACTGACAGCACTGGTTGACCAGCCAAATAATGTAAAGAAGGTTTGCTACTAAAAATGAAATGTAGGAGAATGCGTAAATTGTCGTGAAATTGGACAAAATAACACACAAAGTGGAGACAATGTTGAATGAGTAGTTGATGAGAAGCAACAGTAACACTGGGGACATTAGAGCATCTAACTGTTCATTTACTGAAGCTAACTGCTTGACATTTTGCATAACTGTAGAATATTCTTTTTTCAGCAAATGACCTTCAATTTGTACTAGCGATTGGTACGAAGAAAGTTTGTAAAACTGTACTAATCGCCAGATAATGATTGGATTGATATGAACGACGTAAAAGAATACAAATGTTTGCACTTTGCAGAAAACAGTCAATAGTGTTAAATGCTGAAATTTTAATCGAGGCACAATTTTTAGAAATGGATATAGAAAGGAAACATTGTCAAAGAAGGCAATTATTTTAACTTGTTTTACAGAAGCAGTTTTGACAAAACACTGTGAATTGAGCAGCTTAAGAATTTGTTGCCCCTTTACCAGGAAATACAGCATACTGAAAGTGTATGCTAGTGGAAACAGTAGATACTCTGCATTAATGGTCATTCCAGTGAGTGGTTTCTTATGCGTTAGAAGGACTCGTGATTCATCGTGACAATAGTTTAGCTGCATGTAAATGTACACCAAGATGACACAAATGTTGTGCAGTATACTGAGCAAACTTAACCTTTGACAAAGTAAAATTGGACTTAACTGAAGTCCCGACCATCCATAAAGCAGTGCAAACGTCCTAACTGGCTTATCGAAATTCATGTTTGTACAAAAAAAGTTGGTTAAAAACTACAGAGTAAAAATATCCAATTTGGTGCAAACATGTTTTTTTACAAAAACATGTATTTTATTTAATCAACTAATTAGTATGACCTGTTATGCTCTTTTGTTAAAGAAAGTAAATATTTTTATTTCCTTAATAGTCAAAGACTGCTGTTATTACTTATAATGAAAACAGTAAATGTTATCACAAATTGTTTTTTGATCTATTTATTTTGAGTTTGGCTAAACAGAACAGACAAGTTTACAATCATTAATTCTAGTGCAATCATTTTTGAAAAATCCAGCTGGCAAACACTAAACAATCTCATGCCAAAATAATAACGATAAATTTCTAAATGTTGCAATTTAATTACATCACTTCTTGATGGCTTTCTTACACAAGTTTGAATGAAAAATTGAGATGTTGTTTTGTTTGAGCACATAACAGAACAATTCTCTTAAAAGAACACTCAATGTCGTTACATTTGTGAATTATATAAAATATATTGATTGTAATATTTATCAATCCAGTCAAAGATGAATTTAAAACTTCTATGATTCCTAAAGAATACATAAAAAACCATTTTTCTATAGTTTCAACTAATGTAAAGAAGAGGAAAATAAAAACTGGTAATGATAAAATTGAGTTTAATCGATTATTTTCTTTGGCCAATTCACTCAACTTTTTAATCAGTTCTGTAAAATAAATTTCTTGTCAATTAAAACTTTTAAAACGCAATTTACCTGAAAGTTTTAAATTTTGATGTAATAAATTATTTTCAATTTTTAAAAGAGAACGGTGGGTAGCAATTTTGTAGTATTGAACTAAACGGAAAACAATTATTGGATTTAAAAAAATTATTGCTCTTGCAAAAAACCGTTTGTAAAATTTTATTTCTAACAATTGTGAAAATTTTTCAAACTTTTTATAACCAAGAAACAATGATTGACATAAATCAAGGACAATAATGGTGAACATAATTTTTTTTGTGTTAATGCGAAAATTCATAACATTGTTTAACGACGATGAAACAAGAAGTTCAACTATAAAAGGTCCTTTAAAAATAAAGTACACCATGTTAAAAAAGTAAATTGTTGGATACAGAAAAGAAGTAATGTTTGTGACCATTGAGTATAAGGGTTTCTTTTGAATCGCTTCATCTACTTTCAATTGATTTGGAATTGGTTTTGAATGGTCTCTATTTGTCTGATAAATATAAAAATAAAACCAACAAATTAAAGCAATATTTTTAAACAAACTTTTAGATGAATAAGGATTTAGTCGCAATGTTAGTTTGCCATAAATTAAAACAAAATAACGTAATAAATTTGTCTCAATTTTCATATTTTTACACTTAAAATATTTCAAAATGTCAAAAATAAACCAATATTATTATAATACCAAATTGTAGTTATAGTAAT